AAAACTCATGAAAGAGGCCATGTTACGGTATAGTAGAGACCTAGTTTATGTTGAAATTCTGTAATCCACAGTGTTCTGAATATCAGCACATCAGGCAAGGACTTGGTAGCCTAGTTGGTAAAGGCAGCACTTCTAGTATAGTGTCTTAGCTTCAAGCTAAGGTCGCTGGTTCAAATCCTGCCCAAGTTATTAGCATATTTGTAATCTCGCTCATCTATAAGCATACTCAAGATAAGATTAGATTCACAAAGTTGTACGCAGTCATGCGCAGCAGCTCTTAAACCTAATTGATACTTTAAATAGTTTTGCATAACTCATTGTAACGGTTCTCTAACAAAAAAGTATCTGTTACGTCTCGCTCTTGCTCACGTCCCTGCTACAACCCTAAGGTCCGTTTCTATCTTTTTCTCATCTCTTTCATTGTTTCTGGTCTCATTATCTTCTCTCCTCTAAGGTTGGTTCTCTTGTGCTCGTCATCGCAACTGTTTGCCTGCTTGTGACTTACGCACATCAAACCATTAAAGGTGTGCTGGAATTCAACCAAAAAGTATCTGTTACGTCTCGTTCTGGTCACGTCCTGCTCAACCCTAGGTTGGTCTCTTGTGCTCGTCATCGCCGCTGTTCACCTGCTTGTGACTTACGCACATCAAACCATTAAAGACTTTCGTCTTATACAGTCAATTATTTTCTGCTAAATGTCTGAAAAATGCATTGTTAATTTTAACACGATTAACAGCCGAAATGTGCTATGCGCATACTATGCATTTACATGAGATTATGCAATATGCACTTATGCAATATGCAACTTTGGGAAATATAAAATCCTACTTCTTTGGAATATGCAAAATGTTATTATACAATATCCAAAATCCGCTTATGCAATATGCATTATCCATGTATAGACTAGCTTAGAAATGGTTGACATTAGGGTCTTCTGTTCTCCCACTGTGGATTAAGGAGGTGTGTTGAAATTCTGTAATCCACAGTGTTCTGAATATCAGCACATCAGGCAAGGACTTGGTAGCCTACACAGCAGTCACTGGGATGTCGCATGCAGTCTGCTGCGACACCCGCGGCAAGGGCCCCCCCTTACAGCGGGTGTCGCATCAGAAGGTATGCGACATCGGATCACCAGTTGTGCTAGTTGGTAAAGGCAGCACTTCTGGTATAGTGTCTTAGCTTCAAGCTAAGGTCACTGGTTCAAATCCTGCCCAAGTCAATTATTTTCTGCTAAATGTCTGAAAAATGCATTGTTAATTTTAACAGTTTAACCCAATAAAATCTTGGTATGTATTTGGCCCCAGATCGGACATTTTACCAGGGGCCTCCCTTTTAATTATTAGGGGATTATAGCCTGAGCATACTCTTGAAAAGGTATGAATTTTCCAAAAAAGAGTGACTCCCCGCGGTGTGGTATGTCCATACCTTTCCATGTATCCTCATTTTTCATATCATTTTACATATATTCTTCCCAGTATTATCTCATATTCAGATTCTACACATCATTTCACCCCTAGTCACCTCTTACAGCTTTTCAGTAGCTCTTATAGTTCTCTAGTTATCACCTCTTCAGTATATTTTAAGTTACAGAACAGTACATTACTTTGTACATACAGTACATATATATTACACATCATCTAGTTACAGTATCTATGTAGCATCACTCTTTCATCATAGTACATCATCTTATCTGCACTACATCATATACATATTTCTCTTCACACAGCTTTGACTTTCCATCTATGATTAGCACTTGTATACACAGAACATCTATCTCTAGGTTACTTTATTTCCCATCACTCATTATTGTTTAAGATTTACATTACCCATAGCCAGGATTTCCCCAGCCATGGTGCTTTGCTGTTGTATGTACATGTTGTACACATATATACTCTTCCTTTCTCCTCATGTATTTTTCCCTCATGTGATTTCCATGCATGCTTTATGTTAGTCTATCCATAGTTTAAGGACTAGAAATTATCATCACCCTTATATCTTACCAGATA